AATTAGGAAAACAATCATAATCATATAATTATAGACATTTTAAATGATATAAATTTATATTTACTAAAATTAAAAAGTTTTTAACATAGACGATGTAAGTTAAGTCATGATATTTTTGGTTTAGAGTTTGGTAACTATGTTATAGTATTGTATGTTTTTTAGGGTTAGATTATAGAATCTTAACTTAAAAAACAACTAAATATGACTTATATGTGTTTAGTTTTGTGTATATTAAACCTTTTATAAGTTGATTTTAGGTTTAGTGAAGTTTTTGTTTATGATTTAGTTATATATTTGATTTTAGGGTTTGGAAGAATTTATAGATTTTATTAAGGTTTCTCGCCTATTGCTAAATCTTCCAAGGGAAGTTTTCTAGTGTACGAAATCTTAAAAATAATTTATAAATTTTATAAAGAAAAATTTTGATAGGAGAAAAATTTAAATCATCTTAGATTATAGACATTTGTAAGTGATATAAATTTAGATTTAATAAAATTGAATTGGTTTTAACATAGATGAGTGAATGTAGATCGAGTGATGATATTATTTGGTTGGGTATTTGGTAACATAGTTATAGTATTGTTTGTATTATTTAGGGTTAGATTTTTGAAATGTAACATTTTTAAAAAATATTTAAATTTGACATATATGTGTTTATTTTTGTGTATATTAAGCACTTTATAAATTTATTTTATGTTTAATAAAGTTTTTTGTGAGATTTAGTTAGTTATTTGATTATAGAGTTTAGATGACTTATTAAAAAGTTTTCTAACAAAATAATGCACTAAAAAATTTCGATGAGTCTTCTATGCGAATAGTAAATTTAGTGTCTAGAAGACTTCTTGGAAGACTTTAATGTAAGTATTCTATCAAAAGACTTACATGAAAGTCTTCTGTATCCAAAATATTTAACCTAATTGGAATTTTTGTCTTCTTATATAAAAAAACTATCCACTTTATCTTTCTTCCTCTCAAATGGAGGCAACTAAAATGTAATAATTCTCACTCTAACTCACCAACCTCTCTTTAACCTATTTAAATTTCTTTAAACTATTTGAACTTGATAACACCAAACTTTATCTCAATTTCTCATTCTTATGTGTTTCTCACTATTTTATCTTGATTTTGCAGGGTTTTTATTACATAGTTGTCACCTTTCACTCATTTAAAGTAAATCTATAAAATATGGATATGTATTTTGTGTGTTTTCTTTGTTAGATTATTATAAGTTATAGATTTAACATAATGTGATTGATTTAGTTATTATATAAGTATAAACATTTTTTTTTATATTTTTTTCTTTGTTTTACTATCATTTGAATGTTTTGGATATGCATTTTTTTCAGATCTGAGTCAGATTTTGAAAAACTTCTCAGAAGACTTTCAAAAGACTTTCCATTAAAACTTCTAACACATTTTATGTCAGAAGATTTCCAAGAAAGTCTTCTGAATCGAAAAATATTTTTTTCTCACTAATAGCTACAACAAAAATGTAATGTTTATCACTCTAAAACTCGCCAACCTCTCTGTATTTTATTTGAATTTGAAAACACCAAATTTTAGATCAATTTCTCATTTTTAATGTCTTTCTCACTAATTTATCTTGTTTTTGCAAATTTTTCACTACATGGTTATCATCTTTCACTCCTTTAAAGATAGATTCTAAAAATTTGTAAATTCAACATAGTGTGATTGTTTTATTTATTATTTAAGTGATAAAAATTTTTTTTTGATTTTTTTCCTGTTTTGATGCAATTTGAATGTTTTGTGATATGCAGATTTTTCAAATATTAGCCAGACTTTGGAAGACTTCTTAGAAGATTTCTCAAAAGTCTTCCAAACCAAGAATATTTAACCTAAGTGAAGTCTAAGCTTATCTATGTTTGGGAATGATCTCAAACTCAATATGTAAAATTTTTTTTTATGGTATCTTTATGATTGGTATGTGTACTCTTTTAATTGTGCATTCTTTTCTAAACTTTAAGAGATGTTAATGAAAATAATTTGTTAAATATGTTTATGTCTACAATATATATTATTTTTTAAAATTATCATCATCTTCTTCCCCTTCATCATCTTCTTCACCTTTCTCATATTCTTTCCTTTCATCTGAAACTTCATTACCATCTTAGATTCTTTGTTTCCATCAGTAACTTTTTTCGTCTAGCTCCGGCTTGATACACAAAGACGTACATGATGCATTTTAGTAATCTTGATCAAGTTCAAAACTTGTCGATCACTAGGTAATGAGTAAGTTAACTCCACAACCTTTGTGTTCATGTCCAGGTTATATTCTTCTTGAGTCATTTCGACAAGTTCAGCATGTGTAGAACCTTCAGTTAGAAAAGAAATTCCTGCTCCCTTATCATTATCAACCACAAAATCTCAAGGTTCATCTTTCACCAACCATTCTTCGTATACTACAATTAACTTACATATCACTTGCAAAAAATAAAATAAAAACACATTAGCAAACCCAGAACATCAACGTCAAAAATTTAACCCACCATACTTTTAGAAGACTTACACGGAAGTCCTCAATCATTAGCTAGAAACATTAATAAACATATTTGAAAATCTATAAATTATCACCAATTAAGTTATGATTTCATTCAGAAGCCCAAATATTGACTAAAACACATGAATTAACAGTAAAATCTTACAAAGTCATTTTAAATTTGAAGAAAATGAAAGTTTATTATACATTTCGTAGAAGTCTTTCAGAGAATACTTTCGTGGAAGTCTTCAGTTTAAGTCATTTTTCAACTGAAAATTTACAAAAGAAGACTTCCAGAAAAGTCTATTCTACAGAAGACTTCTAAGGAAGTCTTCCTTTGTAAATATTGGCTTATTTTTCTAATTAAAAAATTATCGAAAATATCAGAGAAGACTTCGAGGGAAGTTTTTCCGGATAAACATGTTAGTTTTGCAGTTGACCAAATTGTTTCAGAAATTTGACTTTCTACAGAAGACTTTACGAAATCTTCTCTACTTTTACATGAAGTCTGCTTACTGTCGGTGGAAATCTGCGTAGGTTATTTTTGCAATTATCTATATTTGACTTTTATTGAGAATACTTCCATTCCAACGGACGAATTCCTTGAAAGTCTTCTTTCATAACCTTAGGTTCGACCAGAATCACGGAATAAAAATGTGGAAGACTTCCAGGTAAGTTTTTTGGTAGAGGACTTACCTGGAATTATTCTAGTTTAAATTAGGTGTTAAAGTTTAATCTTTTAACTGAAAAATTAACCTACACAGATTTTCACCGACAATGAGCAGACTTCATCTAAAAGTTGAGAAGACTTCCACGGAAGTCTTCCGCCGGAAGATTTACCGGGAAGTTTTTCGTAGAAAGTCAAATTTTTAACATAATTCGGTCAATTGCAAAACTAACATTTTTTGTCAACAATGAAAAATTTGGAAGATTCCCATGAAAATTTTCTCTAAAAAACACACAGAACGTCAATTTAAAAATTAACCTATGCTTTGACTAGAAGACTTCTGTGGAAGTCTTCTCTGTTGAGAAAATTTATATGAAAGTCTTCTCGCGAACAAATATGAAAAAAAATTGATTTCATACCTTGAATCAGTGATAAAACTTGCTTAGTTCTCCAAGCACACAAAATGTCACTATGACAGCGACTCAATCGTTAATGATAAGGAATCATGAGCTTAAATGGCTATATGAACCTTAAAATCTTCAGAAGCAAAAAACTTGAGTTTTTTTTATGAATATAGAGAGAAAATGAGAGAGATGTAATTTTTGTGTATAGGATGTGAGATATAATGTGTTAATAACAATTTTTAGATGTATTAAGAGCTTCATATTGGTTGTTCATGGTTGTTGAGTGTATTGATGATAATGGCATTGTGATTTCAGGAAAAAATAATAATGATGTTTTCATAAATAATCCAAACTTTAAGATAAATTGGATAAACAAAAATTCCACAAAAAATCATGGGTTAGTTTTACAATTGACTTTTCAAAATTCCCTAAAATTAATGTAATAGTAATCAAACTGCCTTTGGAAATCAAATTACATACGGTAATTATTCAGAAATGACTTTTGGAGAATACATTAATTATTTTATTGTTATAAAATCTATTAATTGTTGTAAAAGTCATATTTTATATTTTGAGTGATAAAATAATTTAAACGGACAAAGATACGGATCTGTTTATTTAGGCAAATATAACAAATAAATTCACATTCAATTTTTTAAAACTAAAAAAAAATATTAAAACATCTCTGAAACATAAAAATTATTAAACTTTAAAATTATTTGTATCTGCGAATTCGCGGATAAATACCTAGTAAATGGAGTAATTTTTCTATAAAAAAAGACATGATGATCGGCCGAGTCTGTATTTGTGAACACCAAAATGTTAAAACATAAATTTTAAACTGTGTCATATGACACTCTGTTCACCAACGTGGATCCGCCACTGTAAATTCCATCATCTAAACTTCTTTGGTCTCATTCTTTATACATTTGTTCACACTAAGCCAAAGTAGGCTTTAACACTCCAGTAACAATTGTTATATCAAATTCAACATCAAAATGAACTCAATTTAACCGAAACTGAAACTGGAAAGCAATAGACTGAACCGGTAATAACCAAAAGGTGTGTCATGTTACTAGATGAAGCTTGCTTGACTATTATATGGAAGTTTGAGTCTTTTGGAAGTTAATACGGACTTGTTTGATCTTTTCTCTTATGACATTGAATGCTTTATCTAGAAGAAAAAAACTTTATCCCTTAACCAAATGTAAAAACAAAACTTCAATCGTTAATCAATCCAGTTCAACTTTGAAAAAACCTCCAAAAAGACAAGTCAATATTGATGGCAACGGTCTTGGAGAGGCACTATATTTTTGTTAATTAATATTGTAACATTAGTGAGAATGCAGAAAATGCTCTGGTTTTTACTTGTATAAATACCATCACTACTTGTGTCTTATTTCATCACATTCACCTTCAAACATCAAACATCACATCTCTTAAAAAGTTTCTTTGTAATCAAAATCAATGGCAGGTATCAAAGTTTTCGGACATGCTGCTTCAATTTCCACCAGGAGAGTCCTCCTCACCCTCCACGAGAAAAACCTTGACTTCGAGCTCGTCCATGTCGACCTCAAGGACGGTGAGCACAAGAAAGAGCCTTTCCTATCCCGCAACGTAAGTATATATTATCTAATCTATCTTGTAAGACAAGACCAACACTTAACAAGTTTTCAAAAAAAAACAAAAAGACAAGACCAGGCTGAATTTTGAATGTTTGCGTTTTATTTATATTGCAGCCTTTTGGTAAAGTTCCAGCTTTTGAAGATGGAGACCTCAAGCTTTTTGGTATGAATATTTTTATTTACTTTGATATATATATGTATAATAAGAAGAAACATTCACTAACATGATCTGGTTGTTTTGTGTAGAATCAAGAGCTATTACTCAGTACATAGCTCACCGATATGAAGGCCAAGGAACTAACCTTCTTCCTGCTGACTCCAAGAACATAGCCCACTATGCAATCATGGCCATTGGAATGCAAGTAGAAGCTCATCAGTTCGACCCAGTGGCTTCAAAGCTTGCTTGGGAACATGTGTTTAAGCTCATCTATGGCTTGACCACAGACCAAGCAGTTGTTGCTGAAGAGGAGGCTAAGTTAGCCAAGGTCCTTGATGTGTACGAGGCTCGGCTCAAGGAGTTCAAGTACTTGGCTGGTGACTCTTTTACTTTGACCGATCTTCACCACATTCCTGCGGTTCAATATTTGCTTAACACCCCCACTAAGAAGCTCTTCACAGAGCGTCCACGTGTCAACGCGTGGGTGGCAGAGATCACCAAGAGGCCAGCTTCCCAGAAGATCCTTCAGTGAGACATTTCTAATAGGCTCTTCAAAATGGTTCTGCTTCAGTAACAATAATAATGCTCAGAGTAATAAGTGGCTGCTCATTGCCCAATTTCTCAATACTATGTTTTATTTCTATGTGTAGTTGAACTGAAAACTATCTATCTAATCTTCAAGCTTTTCTATAATAAAAAGATTAGTTACTTATTTAATAAAAAGGTTGCAGTGTCTTAACAACTAGTTACTGATCTGACTATACAAAAACGTTTAGTTCGAGTTTGATTAGTCTTTGCAAGTTCTTACTTCCTACCTTATTTTCTGAGTAAATAAGCTGACCTAAGACTTTAAAGTTTGAACGTCCTTATCCATAAAAGTCTCCATGCCTTTTCAGATCTGAAAACGACAAGTGATCATATAAATTACAGAAAAGATCAGAGCAGCATGTTTGTGTCGTTCATCATTTTGTAATTTTCTTATAAAAAGTTTTGGATCTAAGACCAATGTTTCATTCAGTTTTACTCAGAACAGGTCGTGCCTGTTTGAACCGAGTTCGGTCTGTTCAGTAAATGAGTGACATGATTCGTCGGTGGATTATTTCAAAGACGTTTTATTACTATTTAGAGTCAAATGTGTGTTTGTATTAATAAGAGAGTTCGGGTACAAATAGAGAAATGAGAGGCGAGGCGGAGTCTCGGCCAAGCCATACAAGTCGGAAAAGAAGCAAATGAGTGAAAATCCTAGTTCTAGCCGCCTTGTGAGTGAGAGTGATTTCGGATCCCTTTCTCATTAGTCCCTCTCTCCCTTTTATAGTGGTTATGTCTTGACCTAATATATTCATCGTGGCCCCTGAAGGCTTCGTCAAATGGGCCTTGGTCGGCCCGCTAGCTCAAACACCTTGCTTAAACACCTTTAACTCGGTTAATCACGGGGATTAGCCGAGCTAAGCTCAATTGGTCGCTGATTACTGAAGAGCTCTTTTGTTGGGCCTGAACTTGCTTGGGCTGAGCTCGTTATTATATGGGCTTGGTGAGGAAGTACATTCCACCACCTACAGTAAGTCCCCCAGATCCGCTGCCGAGTTATGACCTTAATCGGAGCGGATTTCGTCAAGTTAGCCCATAGAATAACCAGGTCAATTAATGCGTTACGTCGTCTTCCCAAATAACGGCCTTTCAACTCGCATATTCGGATACGGTTGCTTTCGCGAGTGCGGGTCGTCGGCTCGAGGCCCATCCCATCAGTTAATGCCAATCTCGAGTTCATTACAGGAGCGTTCGTGGTCGTTAGCTCGGAACTCGGAAGAGAATGTGAACAGTCGCAGGATCTAGAAGTTTCTTGGGAATTGAAGCCCATTTAACTCGGAACATGAACAGTTGCGGGCGGCTTTTAGGCCCAACTAGGTTCGAGTAGACCTAATTAATGCCTTTGAGAATCGCGCTCCTCTTCATTGCCTATAAATACCCTTCCCCTCTTCATTCTCATCACTTCTCCGTTTCTTCAGGTACTCTTTCTCTCCCTTCTCTCTAGTTTCTCTCTCTAGGCTTACTTGTAGAATATATATACGTTCGCCGTCGGTAAGATGTGTCCGCGAAATAGATTATCGGCGGAGGAGAAGGGGAAAGCGGTTGCTACGGCGTCGAGTCCTACTCGGGACGAGACCACTGGTGAGCCCTTACACGACTTTGATCTAAGGCATCGGGAAGCGTTGAGGGATTTTGCCGGTCTTGACCTGGCACATAGATTGCTGGTCGTCGATTCGGAAAGATAGTTTAGGGGCGAGGATGACGGGAATTTTGCCGCGGAAGTAATGAATGATCCGAGAGTGCTGCGCCTCGGATCTCCGCCATCTGGTCGTTCCCGTGCTGCTCCGTCTAGGCGAACTCGGTCTAGACAATCTAACCAGGCAAACACGGAGCCGGAAGAGGAAGATGCCCGCCCGAAGGTCCCTACGCACTATAGTGGCATGGGGTCTTTGAACGGGAACCCGCGATTCCTGAGGATAAGCTTCGCCGCGCTGGGACTCAGTTTTGGCCAAAAACCGAGAAGACACATTCGACTGCGAAGTCGGTAGAAGCTTTACTCGTAGCTCGCAATGCTGTGGGTGTTACGTATTTGATTCTGACTGCAGAGCAAAGCCCGTGGTCGCCTCCAGTCGGTTATCAATGCGTCAACGAATCGTATTTCAAAGGTGATACCAAGCTTTGGTTTCCGCTGCCTCGCCTCGTGACGTCGTACGTTTCGCGCCGAGATCTCGCCTTATGTCAGATGGTGAACTGGGCCTTTCGAATATGGTTGCCCTTATGGTCATGGCCGCCGAGATCGATGTTTCGTTGTGCGTCTATGCGTTTGAACAGCTGACGGCCATATCTCGCTTGAATCATGGCCTGTTCTCGATCCGGATGAGGCAGAACTACAATATCATCACTGGTCATCCCGACAAGACCCCGAACTGGCAGTGTTCCTACTTCTACATCAAGTCCGACCAGTTTGCCTTTGTTGATCCTCCTAACAACGACTTTAGGACTTATTGGAACAATGTAGCAGGTAGTTAGCTCGTCTTGACTGCTGTCGATTTTTGTTTATTCTAATTGTTTTCTCTTGTCGTGCAGAGCCGCATCTCAACTATTATCTGACCGCCGCCGCCGTTCCGCCTTCGTTCTTATCCAATGCTCGAGCTCTAGTCGAATAAGGTCATCAGTTGTGGCCTGACATTAGCGAGGAGAGGGTCCAACGCTGGATAGAGCGTATATCAATCAAGGTATCGAGGACTTTGACCTCTCCGCTTTCCTTCTCTTTTTTTTTTTTTTAAATACGTGCGTCACTTAATGCCGTTTTATTCCGGTAGCCGACTGAGAGAAGGACGTTGGGTGCAAGGTTAGACCCGGGAAGAAAAGATCTAACCTTTACACGGCAGAAGAACAACGGGTGGTTAAAGAAGCATTAGCGATGAAAGAGCCTGTCGATCTTTCTCAAGCGATGAAGAAGAAGCGGGGAGGGGAATCGCAAGGGACCCAACTGATGAATGCGATCAATAGTTTCGACTTGGGAGGAGGGGATCTTTCCGGTGATGCGACTCTCTCTCTCTTCCAGAGATTGTTCCTTCGGACATGCCCGAACCGTCCGTGGGTGGTTCGAAAAGGCCACGGGCTGCGGACTCTGAAGTCCAAGTGGACACGAGCGGCGGTAGCCTGTCCGCGGAACCTCCCGCGAAGAGGAAGAAGAAGAAGAAGAGCTCTAATCCCGCGAGTGATGGGTCTGCTTCCAAGGAGGGCTCGGGAGCTCGAGATGGCGATGACGCTGGTAATCCTTCCGAGGGAAGGATTGAAGGGGAGCAAGATCGTACTGCTCCGAATCCTTCAAACGAGGATGTCTCTCTCGGAAACGACATGGTTCCTGCATAAGGTTCTAAGAAGAAGGAGAAGAAGGCGGGCAAGAAGAAGAAGACAACGAAGAAGGTAGCTCTTTCCGACAAGGGAACTGGCCCGTCGGCTGATCCGGCTCGTGCCTGCGACCCGAGGATCCTCCCGGGTTTTGACCAGCTGACTTTTCGCGACGCCTACCTGAACGTAGCTCGTCTCAAGGAGGCGGGAAGTCATCTTTATCTTTCCTCTTTAATCATGGCGATTGTGCCTTTTCATACTTATGCTGGCTGATATGTGCTACGTTTCAAGGCTGACGAAGGCGTGAACGCTTTGGTCGAAAAGTATGATAGCGAGCTGAAGGCAACGTATATCAGTCTCGGGAGGTACAGAACGCAGTCGATCACGAGCGCGAATGCTCCGTCTCGCTCGAAGCTTCACTTGCGGAAGCGAAGCTCGCACGGGCAGAAGCGATCAGCTTGGCTGAAATTCGGGCCAAGGATCTTGAGAGTGTCTCAGAAGAGTTGAGGGTTGCTAAGGCCGCGTCTGCTGAACTCGAGAAGGAGAAGGCTGAGCTCGAGGCAAAGGTGGAGAAGATTACCGAGGAAGTTGACTGTGAGGCCTCCCATTTGAGAGGGAATCGACTTTTGGAGGTCACGCGCGAACGAGCGAAGACTCTACACGCGATGACTAAGAAGGCGGAAGCCCGTTTCGAGCGTCTCAAAGCTGGCGATGCGAAACTTGACGCGTATGACGACACGTGGAGCTTCTGGGTTCAGGCCTTCGGAACGCAGAAGTGTCTGGAGACGATGAGGGACGAAGGGATGGCCATTCCGCAGGCCAAAATAGACGAGTTCAAGGAAGAGGAAAGGGTTCGTAAGGCGGAAGCTGAAAAGCTGTACCCCGGGTCTCCCGATCCAAATGACTACAGCCTCTCGCCGTTGGTTCTGTCCTCCAGGTACTTCAACGACACAATCTTCTCTTATATGATGGCTGGTTACAACATAAATGCCGTCAATGGGTTCGACCCGAATGGGTCGAACATGGAGGAACTCGACCATGTGGTTGCTGCTGAACTTCGTTCCCCGGTCAATTCGGATGGTGCTTGGCGTGTTCTCGATCCTTCGGATGAGATAGAGATTTTCGAGTCTCGATGGTTCCGATCGAGACAAGCCCATCGAGAGTGACAAGGCGAGACCCAATCCGCCGTTGACGGATGAGGACCAAGGCACCAGTTAGCGAGCGCCGAGCCACCCGACATCGTCGACGAACGCTTCTCGAGCGCAGGAGACGGACACCCGCGTCGATGATGATGTCGAGGTGTCCAAAGAGTAACATGCCTTGCCGCGACGCCTCCTTTTCTTACTTTGTACCATCTTTTCCCTCCGCTTGTGGAGTTGTTGTTCTTTGTTTCAATTCCGTTGCTATACCCTTACGGAGGGGTTTCCTTTTGACTCTATTTTGGTGTTCGCCACAGAGGCTTTGTTTTTTTTCTATGGATTCCAATGCTCCTTTTTATAAATCTGCCTTAGCGTGATTTTCATTGCGTATTTTGAATCCAGTTCAATGTTTCGAGACGAGAACCTGCCTCGTGGTCGTCGAATCTAGTTAGGGGTTATCAGAGTTTGTTCGCTTCCGAAGTAACCCATGTTTCAAATCCGAACCCTTAGATCTCGTCCAAAAATTTGCCTTAGCGTAATTTTCGTTGAGTTTAGAGTTTTAGCTCGGAAAGTGTTCGTTTAGTTTTTAATTCTGTGGATCCATTAGGGATTTGTCATTCTCCGAATTGGTTCTTATTTCGAATTCGACAAACTATTGCTCGGAGCATTACTCGGACTAGCGTCTGTTACTCGAGCTCGGTTCAC